TTGGGGGCAATATGTTGACTCTCTGTAAACCGCTTAGAGAGGCCTGAAAGGCCTATGAAGCGGTATATAAGTCTACTGCTATTGCTATTGCTATTACTCGTGACATCCACTCAGCGAAGTTCACACTCCACCTTAGAATAGCTGTGGGAATTTGTCCTCTCATCTGAACCTAGGAAGAAAGGATGCTCTCACATGAACAGACTTGATCTTCTAAGTCAGTGTTTCTCAACCTTGGCCACTTGAAGATGTACTGGTTTTAGAGATGGGCCCAAATCGGTGCAGCAATTCTGAAATAAAACAAACAGCCATTTCAACCAAATCAGAGGGAGAGATGGTATTCAGCAGGTTCTGACCAGTTCTGGAGAACCAGTAGCGGAAATTTTGAGTAGTTCGGAGAACCAGTAAATACCCCCTCTGATTGGCCCCACCCCCATCCATTCTCTGCCTCCCCAGTCCCAGCAGATTGGGAGGGAATGGGGATTTTGGAGAAACCTTCCCTTGCCACGCACCACGCACCACACCCACCAAACCAAGCCACGCCCACAGAACCTGTAGTAAAAAAATCGAATCCCACCACTGATCAGAGGGTCTTCTGCCAGAACTCTTGGTAGGATCTGCTGCAATTTTAAAGTGCTACAATTCCAGACTAGAGAGAGACATTAATCCCATTGGTTCTAGTTGGGAGGCTAACTGGATACCAGCAGCAAACCTCAGGAATGCTGTTGCTTGCATATTGGGAGATATAGCAATAGCAATAGCAGTTAGACTTATATACCGCTTCATAGGGCTTTCAGCCCTCTCTAAGCGGTTTACAGAATCAGCATATTGCCCCTGCAGTCTGGGTCCTCATTTTACCCACCTTGGAAGGATGGAAGGCTGAGTCAACCTTGAGCCGGTGAGATTTGAACCGCCGAACCGCAGATAACAGTCAGCTGAAGTGGTTGCAGTACTGCACTCTAACCACTGCGCCACCTCAGCTCTAAAGCCACACGGCACACAAACACTCCATATTCAGTGAAGGGGGAGGAAAAAAGCAAAGAGCTTCTCTGTATCTTCAGGATTTTGTTCCATCACATATGGAGCGCTTTTATTATTCAGTGCTCATAGAAAACTCTCTTCCTGGAACCCTTTGATTCCAATACTCCAATTTTTTTTAAAAAAATTTGAATTTCCTATTTCTCCCCACAACTGCCAAGCTGCTGAGTTTTGCAACCATCCTTCCCAGAAGGCAGAAAAGAAATAAAAGTCCGATTCTATCACAGCTCTTCAGAAGCTGGGCTACAAAGGAAAACCTTAGGAGGTCTCAGTATTTAACCATATGTGAAATCAAATGAAAAAGCCACTAGCATCAGCTACGAGCATACTGTGACAAGGTAGGGATGCACTATCGGATCAGTCATTTCCTGGTGTTTCCTTGCAATGTTAAGGAAGTGGTTGCCACCGCCTTCTATCAACCAGAAGGAAGTCAACAGTCATGGGATTCTCCAGTTATTTGGGATTCTCCAGGGCTCGCCACATACAAGTACTAACCAAGACTGACCCTACTTAGCTACACAGATTTGCTAAGGTCAATTAGGTGATGCTGCCTGCTGAGGCTATTATACCAGCCAGAAAATGGAAACACAACATTCAACAGCTACCTGCTATAATCTATAAAAATAGCCCCACTAATGCCTGCAGGTTTCAAAAGCAGACATAAATGGAGCTATTCACCAAGACTCCATTATACTCTTTCACAGGTAATGTGACTGATTCTTTTTATAATTTTTTTACTCGAGTTAGCAGCCGCTGTATGTTCAAAGGCAACTGGGAAATATTACAAGTCTCAAACTTTACGCATTGTTATTCTAGAAAAAGGCAAGTTCTTCTTCTTTTTTTGAAATGCAACTTTTCTTACAACAATGTGCACTAAGGAAAGCGGGAAGCTGCCTCGGTAGAGAGCTGTAAGATATACAGAGGTAGCGAGCTACAGATAATTTGTTCTACAAATTTGTGAGTGGGTCCCCATCCTCATAAGATGCTTTCAGATTTAATAATGCATGCTATGAACAGATGGCCAGTTGTTTCATTAGATCTGCTGTTTCATTAGAATGAACACTGGACTTTGAATGCGTAGCACAAGACAGTGGTGGGTTTCAAAAATTGTTCGAACCTACTCTGTGGGTGTGGCCTCCTTTGTGGGAGTGGCTTGCNGCGTTCCGTGCGCCTTCGGTGTTTAGTCATGCCGGCCACATGACCACGGAGACGTCTTCGGACAGCGCTGGCTCTTCGGCTTTGAAACGGAGATGGGCACCGCCCCCTAGAGTTGGGAACGACTAGCACATATATGCGAGGGGGACCTTTTATCTTTACCTAAATTAACAAAACAAAAAACAACAACAAATTATCATGGCAAAGCCTGTCAGATGCGGTGCTTTTGCACTGATCTGAGGTACAGGAAAAGCAAGCGTTCGATTGGGGAATCGGGGACAAAAAAAACTTGAATGCTGCAGTGGGATTTGAGTCATGGGCCAAATAAAACGTGTTTTACGATTTATGTTAAAATCAGGAAGATCGTCTCTTCCTCGTATTTCTTGGAATAGGAGAAAAGTCTTTCCAAAGTGCAGGATGCTGACCCTGTGAAGGAATCCACGAGGATTGGCAGGGGCACGTAAGGACAGCTGCAAGCCCAGTGCAAGGAACTGAAAATGGTTAAATAATGCTAGCATGGAATTCTTCTGCATCCCATCATCCTTATTCATTATGGGAATACCATTTTGTGCATACAGAGTCTGACTGGTGGAGAACTTTCTCCCATGCCTCGTCGCCCTACACTTCAGTTTTAACTTGCAGCCAATGTGAGCTCGTATACTGATGTGTAGGCCTCCATATTTGCATTTTCAATTAGCTGTCGGCCGTTAATTTTGAGAAACATGGTCCCCAGAGTGTGCTACCTGACTCTTCCCGCTTACATTCTTGTGGCGCCAAGTAAATTATTTCAGACGTTAACACTTGGTTAGCCCAAGATCTATGGCACGATTGGTATTCAGTGGCATTGCCATCTGCATGGGCATCAAGTCATCTGTAGTCTCCCCCCATGCGTTGTATGCTGAGAACTAATGTGCTGCTCTTCGAATGTGGGTTGTTGTGACAACACACATCAGGTTTCATGGCTTGGGGCTATTGTGGATCAGCATTTCATGAGACCTGGGTTGAGCACTTTTCTAGGTGACTCAGTGGCTAAGATGCTGAGCTTGTCGATCAGAAGGTGGGAAGTTCAGCGGTTCAAATCCCTAGCGCCACATAACGGAGTGAGCTCCCGTTACTTGTCCCAGCTTCTGCCAACCTAGCAGTTCGAAAGCACGTAAAAATGCAAGTAGAAAAATAGGAACCACCTTTGGTGGGAAGGGAACAGCGTTCCGTGCGCCTTCAGCAGAGTCATACTGGCCATATGACCACGGAGACGTCTTCAGCCAGCGCTGGCTCTTTGGCTTTGAAACGGAGATGAGCGCCGCCAAACTAGAGTCGGGAACGACTAGCACATAGGTGCGAGGGGAAT